AAAATATTTTACTAACTCGTTGATTGATTTCGAAGAGGTCATCTGGATGAATTGAATTGAGATCCAGAGCACATATAGTTCATCAAACCTGCTGATTCAAAGCGTAAAGAGCATGAACAAAGAGCAAAGGTTAAAACAATTGAAATAATTTAAAAAACAGTAAAGTTGAGAAATGCCTTTAAAAAAAATCAGAAGCGAAATATGAGACATCCAAAATCTAGGAGCATAAAATTTGTATAATTTGCATTAGTTAGCCAACTTTTGCTGCGATGTCACTGCAAATATCAGTTGTGCTAACAATTGTCTTCTACAGTGCTCAGGTTTTATTTACTTTTCATTGTTTCCTAATAGTTTCGCGTAATCAGATATCTCGAATTTGAAAATTTATGGAATTGAAGTAGCAATATGGCGTGAATTCCTTTTTGAATTTTTAACTTTTTACTTCAATTAGAATGTGCTTATGTTTATGACTAACTGAAGTATGCCACTTGTTATATTAACAGAATAATGATAAAATTGCTTGTCTGTTGATAATGCTAATTAATCGATAAAATTGGCATTATGATTATTATTGATAATAGTGACAAGAACAACAATATCGAAAAAGACAACCAATATGGGAAAGTTGAATAAATCTAATCATTTCAATGTATAAAGTAATGATTGTTTATAAATTTTGATTCAAGGAAGTCCACTAATTGGAATGACGTTAAATAAAATTATAAGAAGGTTGAATTTTCTTAAAAAAGAGGATACGATTAAAGATGATCTTTGATCAAATGACTGTATGTTCACTAATTGCTCCAGAATCAGCACAATTTAGAGTCGAAATAATCTTTTTTCAGTTCAAAATGCAAAATATTTACAATGAGTCATTAAACTGCGCCTTCAAGCCTAATGTACAATTGCGCACTTCAAGCAATTTGGGTGGATGTTTTGTGAAATGATACTTCGATATCAAATTTGGAGATTGGCAGCCTTTTGGGTTCAAAAATTTTTCGAAGAAAAAAAGCGTTATAATGCTGGTTCAATGCACTTGAGAAGAACATAGAACACATTTTCTGATTGGAAAACAAAAGAAGAGATATATTTCCACACTGAATTTTCAAATAGAATTTCAAAAACATCCTCGAAGTTTCACAACAAGATCGGAATTATTCCCATCATCGTTATTAATCATCATTAATCAAAGGTAGATCAGAATTTCCTGTGGTACTTGCCGGAAAGTGAATCAGCTATTTCCTGTGGTACTTGCCGGAAAGTGAATCAGCTAAAGAACGGATATATACCTGATTTCTCCTTAATGACTGTTGCCTGAAATATAACAGTTGCACTGTGGAACTTTCTACTGCTTGCAGCATTGTCAGTCTGGTTTTCCGTGATGTTGAGGTTGTTGTCGAGGGTTCGCGGGGTTGCAGGGTTTTCTCGAAATTGTTTGCCCAAATAGTGACAATTTGTAGTTGTGGGAGCGAATTTCCGGATGCAGGGTAAAATTTAATTCAATATATAGCTTGAAATCTACTGTTTACGTCAAGATTTACGCAGCAGTATTTTCATCCGGTTTACTTGGGTTTGAATAAAATATGATCAGTAGTGGTAATACTGGAAGAACTTTAGGGATTAATAATTCACCTTGATTTATATGTTTTATAATGACTCAGGTTTGATTGATTATTTGCAGTATGACAGACGAGGATAAATCCAGTGTGAAAGTTGATACTGATGGATTATCGGAAGAAGACTTGCGTCGACTAAACCTTATTACTAGGAATTTGAAGGTTTACTGCAGTCATGATATATTATTTCATACCTTAAGACTGAAAAAGGACCGTTCATTATCTGGAAACAGCAATTTGTCCAATTTATTCTAATCTCCTGCTTCTAACAATAGCTTTATGTTTGTTTTTTATTTCAGGAAGTGTTGGGATTGGAGAAAATTACAAAACAGTTAGCTTCGAAAAAAAAAATTCATGTCTATTGGGGCACGGCGACTACAGGAAAGCCGCATGTAGGGTATTTTGTACCGATAAGAAAAATTGCTGACTTCTTATCCGCGAACCTAAGGGTATGTGTTGTTCGAAGTAGTATTTCCAGTGCAGTCTGAAAAATCAATTTTGATTTCGAAGTTGCGATTCTCAAATTAATTTTTAGAGATTTCAGTTTACTCAAACTTTATTGTTCCTGTTATCGCTGGGTCTCTTATTTTTTGATAATACTAGAGTAACTTTGCATTCAGGTGACAATACTCTTTGCTGATTTGCATGCTTTTCTGGATAATTTAAAAAGCACTTGGGAACTCCTGGATAATCGAGTATTATATTATGAAAAAGTGATCAAAGCACTGCTTACGGCACTCCATGTACCGTTGGACCAGCTACACTTTGTTAGAGGAACATCCTATCAGTTGTCGAGGTTAATTTTTCGTCGAATGGTTACTGTACGCTGGAACACTGGTTGTTGTTCTAACTAGCATTAGCAGTTTAGCAGTTTTTTTGTTCAATGTTCTTATATGTCTCCACTATTTCTACATGAAAAGTTAATCATTCGTGTTTTAAGAGAATATACGTCTGATTTGCTTCGATTGTGTAATATTGTAACAAGGAGAGACGCTTTACGTGCCGGTGCTGAAGTAGTAAAGCAAGTAAGATTCCTTTTTCATGGGGATATATGATTAGATTTAAAGCGAGGTTTATGATTAAAAACTTCGGATAGAATGTAGTAATCATTCCTTGCAGGTAGCATCACCCTTACTGAGCGGTTTACTTTATCCGTTGTTACAAGCCTTGGATGAACAGTACTTGAAAGTTGATGGTCAGTTTGGTGGAATAGATCAAAGGAAAATTTTTATTCTGGCCGAGGAACAACTTCCAAAACTAAAACTAGGTAAAAGGTTTCATCTTATGAATCCTATGGTACCTGGATTGCAAGGATCGAAGATGAGCAGGTGATTTTTTGGTTGTAGATTTATTGATTTACTTGAACTTCGCCTTGAATTTTGCCGACCGGTTGAATATACTCGAATCATTTCCTTTAGTTTTGGTAAATGAGACTTAGTTTTTTAGGTATGTGTAATTTCTCATCATGTAAAAGTTTGCATTTTCTTCTGTTCCGAGTTTATTTAAACTTGTTCAGATTCTCTCATTTCCATATCTGTTGAAATTTAGCGAAGATTTTGATTTAGTTCAGAAGAAAATTCGAAAATTGATTTGTTGGATAAAGCAGATGTTGTGCGAAGAAAGATCGATGGGGCTGTCTGCAGCCGTGATTCGGATGAAAACGGAGTGCTAGCATTTTGTGAGCACGTTTTATTTCCAATTATTTCACCAAAATCAGTCAGTTTTGATGGAAAGGACTATGATAACTACAAGGATTTATTTGAAGGATATAATACAGGAGGGATTTCTGAAACTGGCTTGAAAGAGACTGTTAAGGTTTGTATTGTTGCAATTTTTATCTTTATATTATGTTTCATTAAATTGAAAAAGAAAAATTCCAATAATGATTACCGTGTATTTCTTTTTTAAATGAGTTTAACTCAATTATAATGATTTGTTTGGTTCAACATCGTTGGTATTAGTAAGTAGTAATAAAGAATAATGAGAAGCTGTTGTCCGTGGCGTAAGCTTTGCATTTGCATATTCTAATACGCCTGCTATGTTTTTAACTAGTAAGCGTGCAACATATGCGAAATTATCGCTGTAGCAAAGGATCAGAACTGAATGTTTAACTTAACATAAATCCTGATGCTACTACAATTTGTACCGCAATTTGTTGTTAATATTGAAGCACATCTTGAAATAGTTTATATTTGAGGAATCACTTTGCAACATAATTATCACTATTTTTGTGGGATTTCTAACGTTCCAATCGGTCACATTATTCAAAGAATTCTTGGTAAGAACATCTCGAAAATATCTTACGAAATGTCCATAGGGAAGCCACCATACCTACATCCAAGACTACTTTATGGTGCAGTGCAGAGTTATTGTATTGGTGTGTACGATTTTAAGGTTCATTACCCTCCCGGGCGCATACCTCTAAAACTGGTACAAACGCGTATATCCATGTACCGGTTTCGCAGTATGCAAAATAGATATCGAGTAATCTCATTAGATGCAATGATAATTCGTTGTATTCTGTAGTGCTTGTTCGAACAGTTCGCTTCTATTCTTTCCTTTGTACATCGCTTTACTGTTGACATTGCTTGCTTTTCCATCTCTATGTCTTTATTTTTCATTTCACTTCGTATCTTACTTGCTTTTTTTGATTGATTACTTTGACTTTTGATTATTTTGTTTCTTGCAGGAGTTCATTTGTAAAGTATTGGAGGAAGTACAGAAGAACTGTATGAACGAAGAAATGCTGTTATTATTGGAAAAAGGATATTCCAAAAATATATTTGATAACAGTTTACCACATTTTGCTAGTCCTGCAATTGATGGCATCACTCTGAATGATGAAGAAGAGCAGAAATTCCGAGAAATCATTCATGATGCCGAGGTATTTGTGTTTTCTGAGATTACATCAATGATTCCTACATGGTTATCATTACATTTTATGCCACAGTTTTAGATGATTGAACCGAAAGACTTCTCAGAAATTAATACAAATTATGCAAGTTTTAATTATGTATGTTGCAGTTAGTCAGTGGTGAAATGTGGCTTAAGAAACGAATCAAAGAGAATAGTTTATTACATGTTGTTTATACGATAGCGCCAAAAGGTCGCTTTCACCTGGGTTTTGTTATTCCGCTTTTCAAATTGAAGGTTCTTTTTTTGATTTTAGACATATTTTGTTTCGGCTTTCTAAATATTGAGAATTTTTTTGCTTCTGTCAACAAATCTTTGTCGTAGCTTGTTTTTCCATGATCCAGAATAACTGAAGTTAAGTTATCTTTCTTTACTATCCGTTTTCAATGTTCCTGAGGATATTAGTTTTCTCGATGTTGAGTAAGCATAGTCAGTCCACGCAAGCCAAAATTATTGAGGACATTTGCCTCTGGAGGGAATTAATTTTTCTGGCAGCTTTTATTATGGTCTGTTGATCTTGTAGAATATATGGCATTTGACGATATATTCAGTTACTTTTTTAGAAACTGCAATTGCTGGGAAATATTTCGTTAACAATAGTTTTGGCTGATATCGATGCCTTTTTGGATAATGAGAAGTGCCCATGGAATGTTCGAGAAGCGCGTTGTAATTATTATACTGTGATTTTGCAGCAGATCTTTAGTCTGCTTGACTTGAAAGATGTCAAAATTGTTTGGGGGTCGAACTATCAATTGGAACCGTGAGTATTGTTTTTATCAAATTAAAATATATTTATGCATAAATTGTTGCCTCAGATAATTTGATAGATATATTCCGAGTTGTTAAAAAATGCGAGGAGATTCAGGAGATCCTCTTGCGATACCCAGTGTAACCTCAATTGGACAGGCTTGATGTTAACCTGTAATTTCATTCATCGGTCAAGTATAAAGCAAATAAAGTTTATTCCCAGGGAGTATACTTTGGAAGTGTATCAGATGGCTTCAAAAGTAACACGAGATGAAGCATCCATTCTGGACGGAGTGACACTGGGCTCATTGTTACCACCTTTGTATTTTACCATTGACCATTACCGTATGGATGTTGATATTGTCGTTATGGGTGAGGAAATGCGTCCTTTTTCGAAGTTCTCTGAGCAGGTTTTTAATCACTTTATTTTCAAATTATGGTTCACTTTTTTCTGTTGTTTCCATTGATTATGATATGAGTTACTGTTTAATATAGAATTCTAGAATTTGAAGTGGTATATAATGCACATTAATCTCCTTATTTGTTTTTCATTTGTGCAGGAACACTATAAATACTTCACTTTTGATTCCTTTCTTTATGGCAGAGAGCTAGGATTTCACTTTTTTTATTAGCGCAAGAGATTGAGTTAGTTATTCTCAGATTGTACTTCATCATATTCCAGCTTTTCAGATGATTCAGCGACGCGGACAACAACCCCGCGCACATTTGTTAGTCCCAGTTTTACCATCTATGTCGGGCAGTAAAATGTCTGCATCAGATCCTGAATTCCATCTGGATCCTCTGGATACATCGAAACAAGTTAAGCAGAAAATTGCACGTTCATTTTGCGAACCCGGTAATTTGAAAGGCAATATCGCTTTTGAACTTGCAAAACGTTTTGTATTCTCATATTTTGGATCAAGTGAGTTATTGCCTTAATCATTATTTTTCTTTCATTACTAAAAACTGTTTGGAGCATTCCAAGATTAACTTATTCTATAGCGCCGAGATTTGCTTTGATATTCTTTCTGTATAGCATAGTTGTAGACATCTTTCGTTAGTATTTCATGACTCCTCAATATTTTATTTAATTATTAAGGATTAAATTGTCAATTAATCTATAATTCTTTTTTAGCTATTTAAATCCAATACTTCAAGTCAGTGGAAATATAATAACTCCTTTTGATTATCCTCTCTACCCCTAATATTAAAGTGGTTATATATTCTGCATTTACTGCCTGCCATGTCTGAGGATGTTTCAGAAATTTTCTAACTGATGGAATTTTATAAAGAACCCAGTGAATTTCGAATTTTAGAGTTGGTAATCGAACGTTCGGAAGAAAACGGTGGAAATATAGCAATTAATGGTTGTAATGAACTGGAAAGAATAATTGTGGATGGAACTTTGCATCCTGCAGATTTAAAGGCAGTAATTGTATCTAAAATCAATCAGTTCTGCGACCCCATTCGGACGTGTTTTATCACTAAAGCAAAGTTAGTATCTGCAGCATTCCCCAATAAAAAAGGTAAAAAGTAGTTTTGCGGATAATTTAAGCGGTGCAAGAGTAAGATTTGTGTGCTTGTGCATAGTGTTAAAAATGTTCTTGGAATATCTCGAGTGACGATAATCATCTTTTCCTTATTGTTTTCGATTTTATCCAAAAACTGATGCGAAGCTATTTGAAGTTCATCTTCAGACATTCTGGTTCTGCGTAAATTATACAAAATTAAGACGGATCACTTAACGAGAGGGTTACTGAAGCATTATTTAGTAGGATTCGGTAGAAGGTGAAATTTTGTTGATTACTAATTAATATAAATCTTCCCACGTTGTTTTGTTTTGCTGTAAGCTTCTGTTGCTTTTGTTGTTAATTAATATCTGTTGCTTTTGTTGTTAATTAATAAAGCCAGAAATATGAATATATTAATTATTAAAGATTTAAAATTAAGGCGATATTATTATTATTAAAAAATATGATTTTCCTATGCTTTTATATTTATGCAGTTTGTAAGTTTTGTTTATACAAAATTTGTTGTTAAGTATTGTTCCTTTTATTGTGAATGATAAAAGGTTTGTTTATTTTTCCTTCACAGTTTAAATAGCCTTAGACTTTATCTCGCAGGCTTTGATTGGCAGTCTTAGTACAAATATGCATCTTATGCTTTATGCAGAAAATCATTCATTGCCAAATTATTCATTAGGAAATTATCCATTTCATTTCATTATCAAGGAATAAGTTGTGGGGAATAAGGTTAAAGATTTAGCGTGCTACTCATTTTCTATTATCTGTGTTTGTTCCAAACAGAAACTATGACTTTACATGTCAGGCTTATCATTCGGTGATACACATTGATCCATTCATATGGTCTTGCTAAATCAAAGCTCAAAATGAATTTAATTGTCCGATTAGAAATCGTTCCCAACGTGTTA